GCTTACAGCTTTTCATCTCATCCCCTGCATGCATCAGCCTTACTAGAGATTTGAACAATGCAAGGAATTCGCGAGAGCATGCGAAATATACACAAACACTGATCTCTGGCCGAAGGAGACTCGAACCTACGAACCTTAGGACAAGGTACGCAGTGCTTTACCAATCTACCCACACTGGACAATACCTTGGCGTGTAGCATGCGCTACACATTTGATCCAAGGCAGCCAGCTTTCAGGGAGAAGGCTTACAGCTTTTCATCTCATCCCTGCATGCATCAGCCTTACTAGAGATTTGAACAATGCAAGGAATTCGCGAGAGCATGCGAAATATACACAAACACTGATCTCTGGCTGAAGGAGACTCGAACCTACGAACCTTAGGACAAGGTACGCAGTGCTTTACCAATCTACCCACACTGGACAATACCTTGGCGTGTAGCATGCGCTACACGTTTGATCCAAGGCAGCCAGCTTTCAGGAGAAGGCTTACAGCTTTTCATCTCATCCCCTGCATGCATCAGCCTTACTAGAGATTTGAACAATGCAAGGAATTCGCGAGAGCATGCGAAATATACACAAACACTGACTCGAACCTTAGGACAAGGTACGCAGTAGGGTAGATTGGTAAAGCACTGCGTACCTTGTCCTAAGGTTCGTAGGTTCGAGTCTCCTTCAGCCAGAGATCAGTGTTTGTGTATATTTCGCATGCTCTCGCGAATTCTTGCATTGTTCAAATCTCTAGTAAGGCTGATGCATGCAGGGGATGAGATGAAAAGCTGTAAGCCTTCTCCCTGAAAGCTGGCTGCCTTGGATCAAACATGTAGCGCATGCTACACGCCAAGGTATTGTCCAGTGTGGGTAGATTGGTAAAGCACTGCGTACCTTGTCCTAAGGTTCGTAGGTTCGAGTCTCCTTCAGCCAGAGATCAGTGTTTGTGTATATTTCGCATGCTCTCGCGAATTCCTTGCATTGTTCAAATCTCTAGTAAGGCTGATGCATGCAGGGGATGAGATGAAAAGCTGTAAGCCTTCTCCCTGAAAGCTGGCTGCCTTGGATCAAACGTGTAGCGCATGCTACACGCCAAGGTATTGTCCAGTGTGGGTAGATTGGTAAAGCACTGCGTACCTTGTCCTAAGGTTCGTAGGTTCGAGTCTCCTTCAGCCAGAGATCAGTGTTTGTGTATATTTCGTATGCTCTCACGAATTCCTTGCATTGTTCAAATCTCTAGTAAGGCTGATGCATGCAGGGGATGAGATGAAAAGCTGTAAGCCTTCTCCCTGAAAGCTGGCTGCCTTGGATCAAACGTGTAACGCATGCTACACGCCAAGGTATTGTCCAGTGTGGGTAGATTGGTAAAGCACTGCGTACCTTGTCCTAAGGTTCGTAGGTTCGAGTCTCCTTCAGCCAGAGATCAGTGTTTATATATATATATATTTTTTTTTTTTTTTTTTCAACAAGTCGGCCGTCTCCCACCGAGGCAGGGTGACATATATATATATATATATATATGACAGTCTATTCCATCATAAACCCTCCTCTGATACTCTTCCTTGATAGCTGCAACAGAACCCAGACATAACAGAAGAAACAAAAACTTCTTCAATATCCTTTGAGTCCGACTCAACCAGTGTAAAAGCTCAATGTGCATAAAAGGCCCAAAAATCTGGAACTCCTAGCCTGAAGTCTCTAAATGTCCCCTACTAGCCAGTCGCTTCAAAGCTATTGTTAAAAAGCATTCCATCTTCTTAATGTAGTCCAGACACCAATTAGCTAGTCAAACAATACCTGTTCTCATTGACTTACGTTCATATTCTTATTCCAGCCTTCCTTCAGTTCTCATATAGAATTGGTAACATATATTGTCCCATTAGATTTGTATTGTAATTTAACTAACTTGCTGTAATTTCACTCACTTATGGTGTCAGTTCACTTACACCATAAACCTGAAGATCAATGAACCAGTTTAAATAATATGTAAATGTTTTATAATTGACCACTTTGTCATTAGCTACCTTTCTTATTGAGTGTATGAGTGTATTTTAACTACACAAATAGTCCTGCATAATGCTATTGTCAAGTTCTTAAGCAGTTTGTAAGCCTTATGATTAGTTGCATGAAATGTATTGCATAATTAGTGGCTTTCTTTGTGCCTACTATTTTACTCATGTTTCTACTCATGTATCGACATTCTTTGTATGCTTATGGAAATAAAGCATTATCATTATCAAAGTATCGGTATCTGTATTGGTGAGTATCAGCTAATTTTTATGGTATCAGTATCGATCTAAATCTGAGTATCAGTATTATGATTATAATCAAAACCAAGTGCAGTGCTGTATGACCCACTAGGGTCATACAGCACTGCAGGACAGGGGTGTTGCTGAA